TTAGTAACTTTTAATATCATTTTTTCTACTTGATTTGAACTTTGTTACTTATGGGCTGTGGCCAGAATGTAGTCAATAATTGCCGAAGGTCCTGGACAATATGACATGGGTCTAAACTATTTGATGCTGGTTTTAAATTTGAGGGTCGCGATGTGGAGAATACACATACAGTAAATTACAGAAACATTCTTAATTTATAATGAGGGCAAACACAGAATTGGGGTACTCCATGTAATCACATTTCTCTGAGTAACGAGAGATTTAAAATAAGACTGAAATGGGGAAAATTCCTTTCCACAGCAAAGCATACAGTGAAAACAGACAGCGACAGACAGCGGTACACAGTTCAGACCAGCTCAGCGAGGCCTCTTATTTAAGGCGGCTATGGCTGCGGGGGAGTACACATACCCCAAAGTGAGCCATTCTGCACATCAGCGCTCTGTACCTGCGGCTGTGTGAAGTCTTGTGCTGTTGAAGTTACAATGCATGCAATGGCCTTATCGTTTCCCTCTGCACGGCTGTGTGGGGGGAACAGGGGCAGAACACGTTAATTTACATACATTTTTAAAAATAAGGTGTTAAAAAAGGGAATTGTAATGATCTGTCATGGCCACATTTAGACTCAATGACAGGGTTTAGTTCAATGATAAAGAATTGATGTATTTGGAAATCAAACAATTTATTAATTTCTAATGCCACCTTTAATTATTTCTATTCAGTGCTTTACTAATGTGCCACAATAATGTTTGAATATCTTTATTTGGGGGCTTTTCCAAGCAAGTATTGATGTATGAGATTGTTTATGATATATTTCTGCTACCCCTTAAAGTCTCCATGCCACCCTCTGGACACCCCATCAATATTTCACTAGATCCGCCCCTGGTGGACATAGCATACAGTCTATTATGCAGCCGTGTTGGTTTAATTCAATTCAATTCAATTCAATTTATTTTGTATATATATATTTAGTAACACATAATGTGTTACAGAAGCAGCTGGAATGGTACAATACTAATAGCTTGATGGCTAACAAATATACTGTATGTGTACAAAATCAATTTCAATTGTTTTGTAAATCATGTGGAAACAGTGTTTTAATGACAATTGTCTTTAGAAAACTGTGATAGTGCTGAAAGTTAAAACACGAAAAGTTTAGTGACATTCATATTCAGTCACCTGCTGTGGACTGTGGCACCAAACTCTGGCCTTGCTTTGGCATGTTTTAAAGTTTTATAAGAACAGTGATTAAAATTGTGACACTGAAGAGCTGAGTATTTGTAAGTACAAAATACATCAGCTTCTGTGGTCCAGAGTCTGTATGAACCATGATGATCTGTATTTCTTCATAATCCTGCACAACAACCGTATTGATCGTGCCTTTCCCAAAGACGTGATGGTGACCGTGCAGACTGGCTCTGATTCAGAGAGTTCATATAAGTACAAGCAGCAGGGATTTTAAAGCCAAAACTGCATGCATCTTTACTCAGACTTCGCCATGTGTTCACACATTCATATGTTTGTGGCCCACCTCTATGATCCATTAACCGGCAAGATGTTCAGTGCGTCTGTATTTGGTCATCTTAAGAAGATCAGAGGCATCTGGGTGATTAAATCTTGTCTACTAATGATCTAATTCAGACATCAAACAACGTTGGGTTTTCTTAGCAGACAGGATCACATGAGACTTATATCTGTAATAGTTTTAGGGCAGAATTACGTCTAGGTGTATGATAAGTTCGTTCTTCCTCTATAATCAGTCTGGAGCTCTCTCCATGCTGCTGGAAATATTATAATATTTAAATTAAACTTAATAAGCTCTAATATCTGGGTAGAAAACATGAGTATTCTGGGTTCACAGGCTCAGCTGTTAATTGTCACTAATATGATTCAGTGTATTTCTTGGTCATCCTGTATTCTTTGTACAAGTAAAGGCATAACCCTTAATGCAGTTGTTTTCCTCTGGTATGTGTTTTAACACTAAGATCCAGTTTAATTGGTTGGTAATTGAAAGGGAACTTTAATGAACCAGTGGCATCTTTGACAAATGTCTTAAGCATGAGTGCAGATGCTAAATCGGGCTTTGTGTGTATATATACAGTAAAATTATTTTACTATTGCACTTATTATGATTTGTTTCTAAGATGAAGCACTTATAATAAAATCAATAGAAAAAAAAGATGTTTAAAATATCAGAGGAAGCACTAGTACAAATGAAAAGTGAAAGAAAACACATAAATAAATCAAATTGATGACTTTTTAAAGATTGTTTTGGGGGCTTTTTATGCCTTTATTTGATCGGACAGGTGGAGATACACAGGAAAGGGGAAAGAGACAGAGAGGGGGGACAACATGCAGCAAAGGGCTGCAGGTTGGAACTGAACCTGGGCCACAATCAGAAGCTGATGCTTTAGGGCTTGTTTTTACTGAGTGACAACAGGTTGTTCTGTATGATGAAACGGTGTTACATTATTAAAAAAGGCATAATGAATCCTAACATCCTCGCCATAAGGCTTATCCCATCTTTATTGAACAGGAACCTAATCAATATTGGCGAGTATAGCTGTGTGCAGGATAATAGGTGTATTATCTGACACGGATCATGCAATGTGTCGCTCAGCGTGTCGCTCGCGTGTCTCACATTGTGGGGAAACAGTATTGATTTTGAGAACAGCCGTTAGTATGTTAGACGGAAAAGTTTCCCAAAGAAAATAGCTGTATTTTGTAAGAATTCAGTGTAAAAAGTAGGAAATGTGTAAAAAATAAAAACAGTTTTAAAATATGCTTCAATATATTTTAAGAATAAAAAGACTTATTTTGTTTTTTATCTGATTTTCTTAAATAAAAGTAACCTTTTTAACTTTATTACTAACTAAATAGAGTTTTTTCTCTGGATTTCATTTGCCCAGTAATCTGGTTTTTATTTTGTATATTGTACTTTTTAAAAACTGTAATTCCCACTGTGCTCGGTCACAAATAAATACAGTGAATACACATTACAGTCTTAATGGTGAGAAGTCAGGGTTATGTCACAAAACCCGTCTTTAGATCTTCTGTGTTATAACATTCACTTAAAGTTGGCAGGAATAATGATATGTCACTGACCTTGGTGAGCTTGTTCTGACTCTATTTAAAATACCCACAGGATAAGCAAAGGGGTTAATGCACAGAGGTTAAAGGTTAAGGGGTGTTAGGAAAGGTGTCAGGGGCAAGAGAGCTACTAATTCTTACATGATATGAGGACTGGATCATCAAAACAGGCAGTTAAAGTTTTGTTCCTGGAGCTTTTATGCGCTGTCTTTGGAACAATTTTCCGCTCGGTGGATGTTATGAGACTGTATTTACTGTAGGTGCACCACGCAGAGGTCTTAATCTGTGACATCGCCGCTGTCTGTGGAACAACAAGGATTTGTGGAGTGTAAGATTAGAGCTCTATGTCGTCATAAATCTCTGCTTCCCAATTCGACCAGGTGGTGGCGGGTGGGGCGGTGGCTAGGTGTAGTCTGAGGTCTGTAGATTTGGTGGATGAAACGTTTGTGCGTCTACGTGGGGTCAACCTCTATGAAGTTTTTTCATACCTCTGTTACATTCACATGGCTTGATGCTCTCTCTTAGACCTGATTTTTATTTTTAGAACTCGCTTTTCTTTTTTGAGATGGTTCGACCCAGAACTTTTTATGGTGCTCTGCTGTTGTGCTCTCCATGATGAACTACTGCATACCAGACATGTATGAGATGCCTCACGCCGGGGTGCAGGGCGGTGGGGAACACTGCATGTACCCAGGTGAGGGGCCCGGGTACGGACACTGTGAACCCCAGCCGCTGCACCATCCGCCCTGCATGGAGCAGGCTTGGTCACCCAGCCAGCATTACTCCTGCTCGTACGCCGGCAGCCCTCTGGTTTTTAAGAGCGACTTTTGCGGCATGGAGATCCCTCTTAGTCATTTCCACTATCAGCCTGAATATTTCCCTGAGATCAAACCGGACTTTTCACACCTGCAGTGGGTGCAGGAGGCGCACAAGAAAGGTATGAAGCCTGGATGGTGGTTGTTTGCATCTCCATGGTTTATGGGTGGCTAGAATTGCTGATCGATGATATTGTTTGTGCTTTTGTGGTAGTCACTTTGTATTGTGTGCGAAGTTTTTTAAAATTTTGCGAGTTGGTGACGACTCCTCCTTGATCAATGAATCAATGATGTCTGGGATTTTCGAATTAAGTCCAATAAGCGTAAATCCGAGACTTAAGGCGTCATGCAGTGACGTGCAGACTTGGTGCATCTGATGCCCAATGTTCGACTGAGGCGGGCGGGGGTCCATATTGATTGATGGTGAGGCAACAGAAGGCTGACGCAAGATGAATCAGTGCTTTCTTAACAAGCCCCCAAAACAGGTATTGATCAGTTTGTTAACCTCCAGTCTTCGAGTCTGCCACAGGTCAAAGCACTGAACTCATTAAGCCGAAGCCCAAAATTGGGCCAGGAGTTAAGTCAGTGAGTTGACTAGACACAACGGTGCTGTCTGTGGAAGTCGGTGCTAATTAAATATTAGCAGGCAGCCTAATTTTTGATTAGCCTACTTTTAAATCCACCACCAGGCCGTACCTAGATGCTACAAATGGAACAGTAGATGTATGTGTGTTGAATATCCTCACTTTGAGCTTCACTTGTTTATGCAATAAAAATTTTTTCCTACATGAAAAGAAAAAAGACAACTTAATACATTTTTTAAATAAAACATTAAATTACAAAAATGTTACATTATTATAAAAAACAACTCTTAATTTAACAGTTCATTTTAGGTCAACATCAACTAAAATCCAGCTGGAAACATGAAAAACACTGACCACAAAAGCCATAATAAAAAAATTGTTCAGACTATTCTAGTGACCCCCCCCCCCCCCCCC